TAGTAGGAAATTTCGTAATATTTCTTCAAAATGTGTTGCGCATATAGGTATTAACAAATTTCTTTGAATATATGAAAGGGAAAATCGTTCCCCTCTTTTTCTCCTTTCTCTCTCCTCGATTTCAGTAGATCTAGGTTTTCGGATTTTTTTTATTGCCTTTAGAGCTTAATCGTTGGTGGGAGTCGATTCAATGAAGCGGGGTGAGATCTCCTCTATGGCAGTGATGTGGTGTGGTGGAGCCGTTTCTCGATTTAATTCGACGGCTAATTTCCAGCGGTTTTGAGATGGGTCCCAGTCAATTCAAGCTCTGGTTGAGGATGTCGGACGAATCGATGTAGTTTGTGGATCTATCTCGCGGTTCGAAGTGTCTCGTTTGATGTTGTGGTTGCTGCAGAAGTTAAGAACCGGCTAAGAGGGGTTTTAGTACTTGTTATGATGATTTAAGGCAGATCCTATTGGACCTAGGGATATGGCTAATCTCGGATTTTGGCTGGTGATGGTTTGTTTGAGCCAACGACCATATCAGCTACTGTGATTAATATTTGCTAGACCGGATTTAAGGTTGTCTAGTAACCAATCACCTTCTTTTATTCTAGCCAATCATAATTTGCCACCTAATAAAATAATAAAATTCATTTTATTGTAAAATCTAAATCCTAACAACTATTTTATAAACCCAAACTTACATTTAAACCTAAACTCACATGTAACCTACTTTAATTATATTGTAAAATCAAACCTCTAACTGTTTTTTATAAACCAAAACCGATATTTAACCTCGTTTAATTATAAAATCTAAACTCGTTTATAAATCCAAACCGATATTTAACCTCATTTAACTATAAATCTAAACTATAACTCTCTTTTATAAACTCAAACCGATATATAACTTCATTTTTTGTTGGCAAATTAGATTTAACTATTAAATGAGTTTAATTGTTTTTTATTAGGTGACAGTTTCTGATTGGTTAGAAAAAGAGGAGGTGAATAAAAGGATTCACTCCTATGGATGAACCCAACTATTTTTTTGTTGACTTTGACATATTTTGACGACCTGCCAAATTTTATATTCAAATTTAAATATAACAAATATTGTTACATGAAAATCATTTTGAGGTTTTAAATGTATTGAATTATATAGTGATTTATTTATTTAGATAAATCATCTAATAAGAACACAATATTTTTTGTAATTAATTGTAAATGTGAAATATATTTTAATTAGTTTATATGAATTAATGTGTAAATGCCAAATAAAAAGTTTGAAAAAACATTTTTTTTTTTTTTTGGTAGAAGTTTGAAAAAACATTTGGTCATATAATTTATGATTCTAATTATTTTTTATATGATAAAAATTTGAAATATCTAAATTTGGTAAACACATCAACACCAAAAAAAATCTTTTTTAATATATAGAAGATTTTAAAAATATTGAATCATTTAATTTGTCAAATTTTGAAATAGCTAAAATAGGAAATAATAGCATAATTTAAAACTATAGATTTAGGAGATATGTAGGTGTGTTTGGTTAGTGATTTAAAGAGAATGGAGGTAAAGAAATTAGTGTTTGGTTAAAATAGTACGAGAATAGAAAAGAAAATACTTAGAAAAATTGTGGACTTGCCACATGAGCAACCAAAACCCTCAATATAAGTAGCTAAAATATAATAGCCTAATTATGTGCTTTTTTTAATGATTATTATAAAATATTCAATATTTAAAAAATAGTTTTGGAATATATGTCAATTTTGTGTATCCTATTAAATTTGATAAAATTATTAAAATTGACTTTAATGGGATATATTTCAAGATACTTCATGGTTCTTAAATTCATTCAATTATAAAAAAAAATAGAAAGAAGTTATATATTAAGAAAATTTTATTTCTATAATAGAAAAATATGTACAAAAATTTGGTGTTCCTAAATTTATTTCTAATTTTTTTGTATTTCTATATCGCGATTTTTTCCACGTGTAGCAATCTCATAATATTTAGTAGGTGTTGCGATTTGCGACACGTAGATACAAACCAAAATAAATGCTTGTGGTGTGTTTGGTTTGGCCCCATGTTCTAAAAATCCCCGCCTAGCCCCGATTACTCCCCGTTTAATCGCTAGGCCCACCCTCTCCGCCTCGATTAATGACTAATCCCCTAAAAAATCAGTAACCCGATTATTCTCCGTCTAATCCGATTATTTTCCGCCTAATCCGATTATTTCCCGCCTAATCTTACATACCCCGATTATTTTTTAGATTACAAGTATAAAAAAACATTTTATTTTTGTTATTCAATCATTTGAATTGGGAGTTTGTGATGTTTTACATAACTTGTGTTCAAATTTTAATAAAAATCATAAAAATTTGTTTTTACTGTAATTTTGAAAACAATATTGAATTAATATATTTTAAAAATATTAAAATAACCCTAAAACTAATCCCCGATTAATCCCCGATTTTAATCCGATTTTCCGATTAATCGCTAGGTCCATGCCGAACGCCCGACTAGCGCCTAGCGATTTTTCAAACAATGGTTTGGCCCGATACACCAAACAAACACACCATCATTCAAACCCAGAAATGAGTCACAGGCTAGTTTGCCACTGAACCGGGAATTTAAATCAGGCCTGCCATTTTAGAGTCTGTATGCCACTACTAATATGTTATTTCGATTTTACCCCTGGAAACCCTCTGAATCATCAAGAAAGTTTAACAAAACAATAATTCAAAAGCGTCACAGAGGTCACACTTATGGCACGTGCACATTGGTTGATACTCTCTAAGCTACCAACTAAACGTTGTCGTTTCTTTGTTTGCTCCGATCAACGAGAGAGAGAAAAAGAGAGAGGCTTTATTCTTCTTCTTCTTCCTCTTCCTCTCTTGTTTCGATCTCCTCTTCAATGCATCTACGTATCTGATTTGAAAGATTTAACAGTAAGTAAAACTTCAGTCTCCGTGAAATTCTCATCTGTTTGAGAATAACATGGAAATAGATCTAATTGCGATTATAATCAACGAAGGATCAATTACGCCACTCAGGATACAGAATTGAAGTAGCCCCGAGACTCTCCCAGGCACCATTCTCGAGACCAACTCTCCATCTATGTTTTCCGGTGCCGGTAGAGACTCACCAGCGCCGGGATCTCTCTGCTTCACGATGACCCTTCTTCATGAATCATTTTCTTTGGATCTCTCTCTTTTTTCTGTTTTTCAATTCTTTTCTCTCAAGATTTTTCCCTTATATCCAAATCTGAGACATTTCCCACAAAGATCTTTCCCACAACTATCTTTAGATCCTTTAATCCTAAACCTTTCGCGATTCTCGTCTTTCATTTCACTCACCGGCTCCCCTCGAAGTCAAGAATAGCATCTCTATGCTCTTCGCCGTGGGATTCAGATTCTCTCGCCAAGTGTTTTTCTTGGATGCGGCGAGACCGGAGCTTTGCGTTGACGCCGGAGCCGATAAAGAACACGATGGCGGAAGAATCAACCATAGTAGACGGACTATCAACTGTAGCAGCTGTGGTTCGAGCTGAATATGTCTCCGAACTCCTGATTTTGCTGAACGGCACCACCACTTCCGATCTGCCGCCGCTGTCACTGATCTATATGTTTTGGAAAATAAAACATGTATTATTATTTGTCGAATTTATATAACTAGGTTCGACTGGTACAACTAAGAACGTATCTGTATTTTAATTCGTCGTATTTGTACAACTAGGTTTGACTGAGTACAACTAAGACCATAAATGTATACATAGTTCTATACAACAAATATGAATACGATAAATTAGAGTTAGTAACGATTCCAAAAATATCTTGAACTATAAACAAACAATTTAAAATAAATAAAACTCGAATTTATCATATTCTAAATATATACTATTAGTTCAACTACGTTCATTGTATTATGAATTTTATTAAATTAGAAAAGTTATAAATTAAGATTTATATAAGAAATTCCCTAAAAACATCTTCAAATATAAATAAAGTATTGGTCTAAAGGAAGTAAATATAAAGGAACTAAGAACATATTTGTATATGTATGTATTCGTCGTATATGTACAACTAGGTTCGACTGAGTACAACTAAGACCATAAATGTATACGTATTTCTTCTGTACAACCATGTTCGACCGGGTATAACTAGATTCGACTGGTACAACTAGGACCGACTAGTACAACTAAGACCATAAATATACTGGGTACAACTAAAACTATAACTATAACCATATATGTATCAGTATATGTACTTGTCGTATTCATACAACAATGTTCAACTAGGTATAATTAGGTTTTGACAAGGTACAACTAAGACCATAAATGTATCCGTATGTGTATTCAACAAATAAGAAAAACGATAAATTAGAGTTAACAAGGATTCCAAAAATATGTTGAACTAAAAAAGAAACAATTTTAAATAAATAAAACTTGAATTTATCATTTTCCTAGTGCATACTATTGTTTTCATATGAAACACTCCTTATAGTACAAGGAACACTTTGTAGGTGATCACTTCTTTTGATGCAAAATAGGTGAAAATTATGATTTCGTACAAATTGTATTATGAAAACTTCTTAGATGATAATTAATAGTGTAACAACATATGTCCAACTTAAAATTACTAATTTTTATTAAAGTCCAACTGAAAATACGCAAAAATCGCCAAAGTCCAACTATGAACATGTGAGTACAACTGGACAACTAGTACAACTATGTTTAAAACAAAACAATTTTTTATTAATATCATGCTGTCTTTGGCCCACTTTACCACACGTGTGATGATTTTAAATTAATATCCCGCCGCCAAAAATCATGCTTACGTGGGTCATATTTATTTATTTATTTTTTTTTACTTCGTTTGAATTTATTTTAATATCAATTTTAATTAATTTTTTATTTTTTTAAAAAGTTATTTTTAATTGTCTCAGTTGTACCTAAGTGATCTAGTTGTACTTTCTTATAAGTAACCCATATACGTAGTTGTACCTAAATAGACCAGTTGTACCTACAAAACCAACTGAACTTAAATATAATCTAAATATTTTTTTGGTCTACAAAAATATGAAGTCATATGTTCTTAATCTACAACCCAACAAAATACATAAATGAAATACAAAAACATAAGCCATGTGCAATCTTGGAGATGCAAATCTCGACCTCTCTCGGTCGGCTCAAGCCTCTGTCTCTTGGGGATGATACAAAACCTGCTTGGCGCATGATCTCTGCAATAACATATACTACAAGTCAACGAGTTGATTATTGATCTAGAATCGTGAAGACCACAACTAGTTCACTAACATAATCATATGATTTAATGCAAAGTCAGTGCCTTTTTGCGTCTACCCAAATCAAGCAAAAAGTATTAACCTAGTTCTATCATCTAGACTCTCCTTGCCTTCTAGAAATCTCTCTAACCAATTTATGCATCCATTAACGAAGCTAAAGAGATGGGAACATATCCGGATCCCATTCCACAACACAAACCTTGGCGCAGTAGGATCTCCCAACACCAAATCATCCTTCAAACCACTATTAAACTCTCCACAAAGCTTTTTAATTCTTCATTTTATTGAACCAAATGATGTAGACTCTTTGTACACAATCCATATCTGAATTCAAAAACAAAAATCAACAAGTAAAGATACAAACAAGTATGCTTTCATCAAAAAACATGAAAAATAAATCAGTTAAAACATACCTATAGAAACACTTAGTAAAACAATTCATTTATCAAATTTGTGTACACCGTAGAAAGACAAACGGTAACAAAAGATTTTCAAAATTTAGAAAAAGAAATAGAACTCTAAAAATGTGGGAGCGGTGTAAGGAGAGAATAATTCTAAGGTTTCTGCTTAGCTAAAGCTACGAATCTGATTATGACAAAATAGCTATCCATACAAAAAAAACTATTTATAAGGATCAAACCAAGCCTAACAAACCTCTAAACAAGCTATTCGTATAAAAAAAAAACTGACAAAACAGAACCTACACACATACCATGTCTCTGGACAAACCAAATCCAAAGTTAAAAACCACAAACAAACCAAAGTCAAACCAACCAAACTAGATGGTAAACCATACAACCTCAATTAAGAAGGATTGGAAACGCTTACCAAAGAAAGAGCTCGATCGAACTATCCGAGCAGAATTAATTATCCGTACAAGCACTAACGCTCACCGCGACGGACCAAATTTGCATCTTCAAGGACAAATGACCAAACTGAGACAAAATAGAAGACGGAACCAGTCATTGGCAAAACAAAACCAGGTGAAAGGTACAATTCGAGCAAGTTTACTGAGCCCCCAAAACAATCAACGAATAAACAACTGGAATCAAAGTAATAAGCAACTCCTTTACCAAACACGATCAATGGCGAGTCAGCTTTCCTCAGCAACGAATCTGCAGATCCAATCTCTGTTCTCAAAGATCCCCGAATCGGTTCTTGCTTCTGAGATTTCACAACCTCACCCACCAAGTTATTCGCTTCAGATTCTAATATCTTATGAGGCAACACATCAGATGGAAGACCCCTCAATCGAGATCTCCGAAACTCTGATTTCGACTCTCAACTTAAGTGGTTCTTGGATTGAAGTTCAAGATTTGGGGATTTTTGGAGCTTAAGAAGAAGAGGAAAAGAAGAAGAATAAGCAATTGAAGAAAATTGACAAAGAAACGAAGAAGAAAAAAATAGAGTATTTTGTGTGGATTCGGGTCGGATTATCAAATTTGGAGCAGATAATCGGATACTTCATGTTGGATTGGTAGTTTTCCATATTGACAATGGGTTTTTGGGAATTTCCTTAATTTTTGAGTTTAAAAAATATTGTAAAAGAAAATGAAAATATGAGGGTGGCATTCTAGCATTTGTTTTCCCCGAAAGTGGCTTTCCAGCCATTGTTTCCCCAGAAATCGCTATTACCAAGAAAGCTCTCTTTCATCCCTAAGAGATCTTCAAATTCAGATTTCAACCAAAAAAAAGGTATGAAATTTTTCATTTTTTTCCCTATCATATAGTCTCAAGATCACAACTTTATATAATACCAAATCTAGAGAAAAAAAACAAAGATTTAAATCCTGTAGGAACATTTTTGAGTAAGAGCTTCTTCTCCGCCATGGATTTAGCTTGAAAGGTCTCAACAAGAAAACAAATTTCTTCGATTTCGCTGAGAAACTCGTAAAACCCATTTCGCTTCTCGTTGTTGAAAATGGGTTCTTCTCATATTCCTCTTGATCCGTCTCTAAATCCGTCACCTTCACTGATCCCAAAGCTTGAACCAGTCACTGAATCAACCCAAAACTTGTCCTTTCAACTTCCAAACACAAACCCACAAGCCCTAATTTCATCACCCATCTCCAATTTCAACGAAGCCACAAACTTTTCCTCAGATTACATCACCGTCGCCGAGACATTCCGGTCCGCCTTCGCTCAACGTCTTAAACGTCACGATGATGTTACGGTTCTTGATTCCTTAACCGGAGCAATTGTACCGGTTGAGGAGAATCCAGACCCGGAACCGATTCCGGTTTCTTACTCAACCAATGACGCTTCACCGTCGGTTGTTGTTACTCGACGGCCTAAGCCACAGCAACGTTCGTCGGAGCTAGTGAGGATCACTGATGTTGGACCTGAAGGTGAGAGACAGTTTCGTGAACATGTGAGGAAGACGAGAATGATTTATGATTCACTTAGGATGTTCTTGATGATGGAAGAAGTTAAACTTAATGGGTTTGGTGGAAGAAAAGGTAGACCTGATAGTAAAGCTGCTTCAATGATGAAAGATTGTATGTTATGGTTGAATCGTGATAAACGAATCGTCGGTTCGATTCCCGGTGTTCAAGTTGGGGATATCTTCTTCTTTAGGCTTGAGTTATGTGTTATGGGTTTACATGGGCAAACACAAGCTGGGATTGATTATCTTACAGGGAGTCTTAGTTCTAATGGAGAGCCAATTGCTACTAGTGTGATTGTTTCAGGTGGTTATGAGGATGATGATGATCAAGGAGATGTGATTATGTATACAGGTCATGGTGGGCAAGATAAGCTTGGAAGGCAAGCTGAACATCAGAAGTTGGAAGGTGGGAATCTTGCGATGGAACGGAGTATGTATTATGGGATTGAAGTTAGGGTGATTAGAGGGTTGAAGTATGAGAACTCAGTTTCTAGTAAAGTTTATGTTTATGATGGGTTGTTTAGGATTGTTGATTCTTGGTTTGATGTTGGGAAATCTGGTTTCGGTGTGTTTAAATATAGGCTGGAGAGGATTGAAGGGCAGGCTGAGATGGGTAGTTCGATTTTGAAGCTTGCTAGGACTCTTAAAACTAATCCATTGTCTGTGAGACCGAGAGGTTATATTAGTTCTGATATCTCGAATAGGAAGGAGAATGTTCCTGTGTATTTGTTTAATGACATTGACAACGATCAAGAACCTTTGTATTATGAGTACCTTGCGACAACTTCGTTTCCTCCTGGCTTATTTGTTCAACGGAGCGATAGTGCAAGTGGATGTGACTGTATCAAAGGCTGTGGCAGTGGCTGCCTTTGTGAAGCCAAGAATTCAGGTGAGTTTGCTTATGATTATCATGGAAAGTTAATAAGACAGAAACCGTTGATACATGAATGTGGAGCGGCGTGTCGGTGCCCTCCAAGCTGTCGAAACCGTGTGACTCAAAAGGGTTTGAGGAATAGACTAGAGGTGTTTAGGTCACTGGAAACGGGTTGGGGAGTTCGGTCTTTGGATATTTTACATGCTGGTGCTTTTATTTGTGAATATGCTGGGGTTGCTTTGACAAGGGAACAAGCCAACATTCTGACCATGAACGGTGATACATTGGTATATCCTGCTCGGTTTTCCTCTGCGAGATGGGAAGCTTGGGGAGATTTGTCTCAGGTCCTGGCTGATTTCGAGCGGCCTTCTTATCCTGAGATTCCTCCTGTTGATTTCGCAATGGATGTGTCCAAGATGAGAAATGTTGCTTGTTACATAAGCCACAGTACTGATCCGAATGTCATTGTCCAGTTAGTACTCCATGATCACAACAGTCTGATGTTCCCTAGAGTCATGCTTTTTGCTGCTGAAAACATTCCTCCCATGACTGAGCTCAGCCTTGATTACGGAGTTGCTGATGATTGGACCGCCAAGCTTGCCATTTGTAATTAAAATTCTCCTGTAATGGTGATTCTAGGCCATATTTTTCCAGGTAAAACTAAGTTAATGGTTAATAAGTTTCACAGATTAAACCTTTAGTATCATGTTAGCTAACGTTAAGAAAAAGCATAAGCATGAAATGGTTGCAAATGGATCTTGCATAGGCTTGTGACTTGTTTACAGGTTTTATTGTGATATCAATGGTGTCTGATTTCATTTTTAACACGGTTTCTGCAAAACCAAAGATGTGGTTTGATGTTAAGAGTCCTATTGTTCATCTGAATTCGATAAATATTGGTTTCTTGCAGATTGTAATAAGCACAAGCTGAGACTGAATCGTTTACTGTTTTGTTTTGCTAGTTGGTGACATGAAGAATGAAGCAAAGGAATTGTGCAGAAGCTAAGGTTTAAGAAACCCCACTCCTCCCATTTTGACTTTTTGGGTATCTTTCAATATTTGGGAGTCTTTAAGATTTTTTTTGGGGTAATAGTGTACAAAACTCAAAAGATGTTTGTTTTGTCTGTACTGTTTTGCTCTTGTGTTTGTCTCGTATTTAGCAAGTAAAACAAATATTAACCATCTCTCTTTGTCTCTCTTTCTAAATTAATTGGTATTAACCATCTCTCTTTGTCTCTCTTTCTAAATTAATTGAGATTACCATGTTTTAGAGTCATTGTTTGATCGATTAATCCGACAACATATAAAATCTCTTGATGTAGAGATCATTCGTGTAACTTTCTAACTGCTTTGTTAGATTGACTAGATCAACAACAAACTTTTGAGTAAAAGTCTTTGATTGAGAAATCTAAATCCGAGAAAAAAACTTACGAAGATAAAGAAACCAAAATCCATTACCATATCAATGCTGCTCAGGGTAGAACCTCAAGCTGACATTTGCTAGAACAACTCAGCCTGGACACCAAATCTATCAGCAGCATACGGTTCTCGGTCAAATTGGTGATTTTTCGGGATATAGAGTCATCCTTTTGAGGTGGCTTGCCATCTCTAAGATGTAAATAGCCGCTTCTTTCTCTGCTTCTGTTTTCTTGTATCCAATCCACTCAACAGTTTTGAGACTCGACACCAAACATTCAGGAACACAAAACGGCTGCTTCCACTGAGCTTCAAAATCTCTGAAGCTGCCGCAGTTTCGCTGAGATATAAACAAAATGAGATTTCAAAGGGTGGAAACATGAAGCTGCAAAAGTTTTAATGTATATAGCAAATAGTAACTTACATTATTTAACCTCAGAACTCGCAGTTTAGGGGAATGGCTGAGTAGAAGACATAACCAATCTGATGAACATTTAGTACATATATAGCTCTAGATACTCGAGCTGACAGAGAAACTCACAAGATTTTGCCATTAAGACTGCTCCCGCTGAGGTTAGACATAAGGAGAGGTATTTGGATGAGGTTAGACATCCCATAATCTTATTAGAGTCCTCTTGTCTAATCTTGATTTCTGCATTCACCAGCTTCGGCATTTTCACTAATGAACGGAACCGACTAAATTTATCTAGAACTTTTAAAGTCTTTAGAGAAGAAGGAGTACTGACGACATACTCGCGACCATCTGTTGTTCCATGGAAATCTGGTCTTTGCATGATATGTAAGCTTTGCAATGACGGGATCGCAATTGTGAAGGTCGTCACACAGTCCATGAGCCATCGCTGAACAATCAGTGTTTCAAGGACAGGGCAAGCGGACAAAAGCCTATTAACATGTTCATCCCCAGAGAGGAATTCAACACAGAGAAGGGAGAGATTCTTGAGGGACTGGAGAAAGATTGTGGAAGGAATATCCCAAATCATCACTTGTTGAAGGCGTAAAGTCACAAGGCCTTTACATGTAAACAAGCTCTCAGGACACGGCATGGGTTTGAACTGGCAACGATAATGGATAAGCTCAAGAACACGCACGTGTCTAGCTACTGCAATATCAACCCATCTTTCATGTTCTTCAGGTTCACAAACATCCCCAAGTCTGAGATGCATTGTTTCTAGAACTGGAGCCTTGCTTAGCAGCAGAAATTTGTTTACAAAATCTGAACCTCTCGCGTACAATGGAGTACCATAGTCAAGCCTTGGAACCATTTTCCACAGAGAAACCCATCGTTTTGACAAAAAACTCGTGGCTACAGCATCTTTCGTCTTAAGCAATGACAGTATCTTCACGAGCAAATCATCACTCAGCTCACAAATACTGCTCATATTAAACCAAACTTCAAATCTCCTCAGCTAACTATCTACTATACATTTTTGCAACAGTTTTTGGGTCCCTAATCGGGTCAAAATTTTGACCCGGAATTAATTTATTTCGACCCGGATTGGAATAAATTATTTGGATCCGAATAATTAGAGACTTTCCTAAAAAAATTCTGTGATAAAACCGCAAATCTTGAGTTCGAATATTCCTAAATTTTCGTCAATCGTCGTTAATGTATCTTTTGAGAAGATTTCCCTACAAAAAAGGAAACTACATTAACAATTGCGTTTTGATTTTGTTTTGATTTGTAAACTAACAACAAGCATATTCTCAAGATATTCAAATATCAGAATATTGCCTAAACTAAAACATATAGAACATTCTAACGTAATTGTGTTAACAAGAAGATTATTTTTGTTTCATAATGATTTCGCAATCTTCCCTTAAACATTTGTGCATCATTCTAATTTTGATTAATTATACGATTAAAATTTTGATTAATGATACGTAATTGTGTTAACAAAATTTTGAACTTGATCACCAAGATTTTCTCGCTTTACAATCACACCTAACCCTAAACATCTACAACCTCTATATATAATATAACATGCCAACACATGCAAGAAAAACACCAGGGCATCAAGAAACATTTTACCTTTTACATCCATGAAGAAAGCTTTTCAATATCTCCATGGTTGTTTCTTTTGACTATCTTAGAAGCGGCTTTACAATATTGCATGACAAGTCCAAATTAAGATTCTGCATCATGACGGCAATACACAACCAAAACTGGTGAGATTCTGAACTCAAACATCACAATCAGTTTCCAAATTCATTCTTTTTGTTTTTTTTGTTTCATGCAGATTTGTGGATGACAAGAAAGGATTTGTGCTTGACAACCTACAAACTTTAAAAAGATTCGGCTTTTGTTCATCTTTTCGACAAACGCAAATAGTTCAGGTCTAGCAAACCCAATTTTGTTAAAGTTTATGCATTTAGGGATTCAATTGGTTACCATAAAGATCAAATCATTGGTGTGTGTGTCTGTGTACATCCTTTCAAAACGCTTACTTAAGACATATAGATTTGTATTCATGGAGGACAGAACTGAAATCAAATGTTACCTTCTTTTGAACAGTGGAACCTAAAGGGTTTGAGTTCTTTGTTAACACTATCAATCTTCTTACGAACCACATAAACTTCCTTCCTCATAGGATCATACACTAAAGCTCCTGTCATAAGAAACAACATGTCTGTAAAGATAAGATGTATTGGTAATCCAGCTTAACTCAGTTATTGAGAATGAGAGAAGATATAATTATAAGAAAACATGTTATCCATGGAAATTGCTATCACAAAAGTTGTGTAAAAATCTGAATGACCATTACTATTAATCAATTCCAAAATCAATTCGTTTTTGTAAACAAACTAAAATTACAGCCATCAATTCATTGTTCAGAAGCTACTCAATCGATAAAAAAATTGCAAGCGAAGAGTGAAAAATTACTTACAAATGGTTAGACCCAAAATTAGATTCAAATCCGAGCAACTGGCCAAGCTATGAACATGTATAACCGATTACAATCGGATCATGTAGTTCAAACAGAAAAAAAAATCGCGTTTTGCTGGTATAATCGGTGAGAGCTTGAAGAAAAACAAGTTCGTCATTCATCGGGTTACGAATTCTTTTTTTTTTTTTTTTTTTTTTTTTTGCTGAGAAATGTTTTAGTGTGGCAGATCTATAATTTGGTTTCATCATTTTTTTTAGGCCTGGGCTTTCCGTTAACCGTTCGGTTATCGGTTGGGTCCATTCAGTTTCGGTTCTTTCGGTTTCAAAATTTAGTATCTATTCAGATATTTTAAAATTTCGGTTCGGTTTCGGTTCGGTTTCGGTTCGGTTCCAGTTCTTTCGGTTTTAAAATTTAGTATTCATTCGGTTATTTTGTTTAGAATATTTTCGGATATTTCAGTTATTTTTGAGTATTTTCGGATATTTTTGGATATATTTCGGTTATTTTCGAGTATTTTTACTATTTATATATATTTTTCAAGTATTTTTATTATTTGGTCTATAGATAACTAATTATTTTGAAAATATAATTGTATTTCGGGTATTTCGGTTACCTGAAATATTTCGGTTTGGTACCGATTCGGTTACGGTTATTTCGGTTATAGAATTTAGTATCCATTCGATTATTTTCAAATATTCGGTTCAGTTCAGTTCGGTTTTTTTTTACTTCGGTTTCGGTTCGGTACATTCAGTTCGGTTTATTTGGGGAGGCCTAATTTTTTTTTTCCAAAACAAATACTTCTTTTGGGCTTATAATGTTTGGACTTCAATTTTACTTATTGGGCTTCGTAGATTAATTTTCTGTTAACTAGACAATTTCATAATAAAAAATTATTACCATATAAAACTTATTATACTGTTAGCTTACAAGAAAATAATTATTATGTAAACCATATAAATAAAAGACAAAAATAATATTAGACTTAATACTATCGTAAACTTAAAGTGATTTTTAAACGATACTCAACCTCTCTAAAGAATTATCTATCACCACAAACAACAACCAAAACTATACACAACCAATTGTTCATTTATTAAAAATCATAAATAACAAAGTATTTATAATATTTAAGTTATAGAAAATTTTTTTAATATTAATAATAGTTGAACTATATGAAAATTAAAAATATAAATATTATGGAAACTATTTAAAAGCAAACTTTTAAATTGACTCGAATTATACGTCTTTAAAATAAAATATTATTGAAATAAAAATAACAAAATGATGTTTAATTTCACGGGACAGGGTTATATGGTGGGATAGATTTGGGTCGATATTAATACGGGACGTTATACCACGGGTGAAATCCTAGAATTAACTATCAAAATATAATTATACAATCTTAAATACTTAACAAAACAAACAAAATTAACTATGAGGTATATCGCGGGGTAAAATCTTGCTTTATTACAAGCCAAATACAAACATTCATAAGATTATAATCAAAAAGTTTCTTAGTCAAATATGTAAAACACAAATAATCAAGTTATAAGAAAACACAAACAAAAATTTATTATACACAAAAAATATCAAATAATTAACCCGCGGTGTACCGCGGGTCATATCCTAGTAATTAGACAAACCCCTAGCGAATCTTATTAAAAAAAAAAAAAAAGAAGACAGCTGATCAAATCAAGGAAGAGCCCTAATCAAATCAAGGTTCACGATCATAAAACTTCGTAAATTCTACGAGAAAGAACTAACCTTTTTCTCTGTCTTTGAGCTAAGATCAGATTCTGTATGGTTTGATTTGCCACAGTTACTCTTGTATCTCCTTTGTTTCGGTTTTCTTTTCAATTATCAAATTTTCGGCTCAGACAATTTCCATAATATAAATCTTTTTTTCTTATAAATAAATTAAAGGGAAAAATTGATATAAAGGATAAATAATTAAATTATTGTCCATCTATGCTAAGTATATTTATAATTGATCATATATGTTTTAATATTGGTCATACTAGATTTTAACCCGCGGTACACCGCGGGGCTATATTTTCTTAAAAAATCAAAATGTAATTTGTTTGATAGATTATTTTGATTGTTAATTTTAGTATTTCACCCGTGGTATACGATCTTTTATAAATATCAACCCAAACCCGTCCCATCATATTACCCGTCCCGTGAAATTAAACATTATTTAGTTATTTTTCTTTTTAATAATACTTTTATTTAAAAGCTATATAATTCAAGTCAATTTAAAAATTTCTTTTAAATGGTTCCCATAAGATATATATACATATATATTAAATTTGTATAGAGTTGAAATAATATTAATATTACAAATTTTTTATATAATTTAAATATTATAAATATTTTTAAAAATATGTAATATATATTTTTTGTTATTGAATAAGAGGATATTATGTGTAAGAAATGTAGAAAATAAGAGTTTAATATTTTTATTATGGAGTCGCAAAAAAAATCTTTTATTTCTATACATGTTATTCGTTTATTAATAATAAAAGAAAACAAATCCTTTAAATTAGATATTAACTAAAATAAACGCATCATAATTACTTATTAAGTAACAACCAATAAATTTCACCAAAAAATAGGTAACAACCAATAAATTCTAAACGCAGTAATTAAAGAATGAGATATTAAAAAAAAATATCAAATAAGATATAAGAATCTTAAAATAATTGAACATCTAAATAATTTAATTGTTAGTGTCGATTTTAATGCCTTCATAAATGTGGATTTTTTTTTTTACAGAGAAATATTTCCTAAAGATTATCACATTAATGACTCAGAAAATTAAGGAAGATATGAATTTATGATTCTCGAAATCGTATTGGTAATATCTTTAATTAATATTTTTCAAATTTAAATAATTAATGCTAATGGCATTTATCCGTAAATAAGGTCCAACTCCAGGATTTATTTGCTAAAAGTCATTCAAAAATGTATATATAGATATGCTTTAATATAATTAAAATCCCATTTTGTCCCTAGTTTCTTTAAATCTTTCTAAACTATAAAAAAATTTCCAAAATTAATTAGATTTCTTTCTAAAAGCAATTTGGAAAAAATATTGGGCAAAAACAATATTTATTTACTTTCCAAATTTTTTGCTTAGATAATTCCAAATCTTCTTTTTATTTGATTTTTTTTATGGTAACATCTTCTTCGATTATTTTGACGTCAACTTCTTCGATTTTATCTTTTGGTAGTTTCTTGGATTTTTTCAATTCTTTGGAGCTTAAATATATATGTAAAATTCTAGATTTCTTTGCATGTGTTGGATTATTGTAGACGTAAAATTTGTAGACATAATACATTTTTTAAAATTTGTAGACGTAAGATTTCTAAACTAATTAGAATACATGTTCTAAAATTTGTAGACATAATCTTAACCTTAATATTCAATTTTATCAGATGTAATACTAACAACTAGATATTAACCCGCGGTACACCGCGGGCCTATATTTTTATTAAATAAAAAATTAATTTTTTATTTTAAGGCTTTTCTTTTACATATATGTTATTTTTTTTAATGGATATATATATATATATATATGTATATATCTATATATTGTAGGATTAGTATATTTTAAGTTCATTTTTGAAAATAGAGATAGAGAAAAGTATATAGTTCATTACCACGGTACACCGCAGGACTATATTTAAAAAAAAAATGTAAAATTTTTGAAGATTATCTATAGATATAAACTATCATTTTGTGTTTTTTAAATATATATATATATATATATATATAGTGTACGATTAGCATGTCCTACGTTTTAATTTTTAAAATATAGACACGGAAACATACAGTTTATAAGTAACGATGTATGGAGGATATAGTTTGAATATTTTTTTTTAGGTTTGAATATATTCACATTCTTGACTTTAGATATTTTATCGAGGAAAAAAAATGTAGACCTCATTATTAATGATTATGAGTAAATTGCATAATAATCTAAAACAACATATTATTCAGTATACATAAATAATCTTTATATATTTGGTAATAATGTTTTTTGGGGGTTAATCTAATTTATAACTAAACAAATTATTTATTACCAACATGAATTTGGTTTATACTTTATAGTACATAAAATAGTAAAATGAGTTTGTTAAAGAACGGATATTAAAGTAACCATAATTTAACTAATGTACTTTAAAATAAATATATTTGGAAAACGAATTACTTAAAATTTGATAAATATAACTATATCAAATTAAATAATATAAAATTAATCCAGTTCTTTTGCTAAAATAAATTTACCTACATCAAATTATACACATATCGCCCGGGTCTTATGTTTGATTAATATATGCGAGATATTTGTATCTATTTATATAGTTTATGTTAGAGAATTTTATTTTAGTATTGAGTATAATATTTTTGATTTGAAATATAGTGATAGAGTTGAATTTTGTGTATTAATTCGAGGCCTAGTAATAGATATTATAGATTAATGTGGGGTAAATGTTTGTGGAAATATTTTGATTACAAAGATAAAACAATATACAAACAGTCTACATATGATTGAATAAAATTCTAAATATCGAATTTACACTTACGAATACCAATAAAAGTCGACCTTCTAGATTGATACCCCGTGCTGCCCGGAGATGAAATTGGTGTATTGAAGATACGATCAAATCAAGGAAAGAAGATTTGGTGTGATCTGAAGATTAGGAAAGTTGTCTATGATGCTTCCTTTATATTCGCAGTCTAGACTTCAGGTTTAGGTTGGCGTTTAGACTATCTCTGTGAATCTCAAGTACTAGGCTAGAAACTATTAGGGTTCTTGGTGAGTGAATAGAGTGTATACATAGTTGTTGCTGTGTTGTGAGTTTGGGTAGATTAAGAATTGGTCATTGACGAGTTGTGTCAACGTCGTGTAAATCTGATTAAACATATCTTGTAGATTGTTTAAGTGATTCTTAATAAAGGAAAAGAAGTTCTTTTCAATTGTCTCAACATCTATATAATTACACTTGGTATCAGAGTGGGTAACCGACCTGATTACTAACTCAATACAGGTTAAGATCCTGCGGATTAGAGATGTCGAAGGCAGAACTCAACAGACCTGTGATGCTGGATCACAAAGGCTACAGTCACTGGAAGACTCGGATGATGCAGTTAATCAGAGGACAGGGTGAAGACGCCTGGACTGCAGTTGAAGATGGCTGGGAACCTCCGTTCAGCACAACTGAAGCAGGTCTGAAAG